CAAGTGATGTCATGTGATGTGATCTAGTTTGACACACATGATTTATGCAGTCTGAGAATACTATTAGATGTCACATGGTATAATAACTTGATGTAAGCATTACCCTCTTTTATGATGAACAGTTAGTTCCATTTGCCTTCTCTTGAGTGGGACTTTATCACTAAGGTATATGTGTACCCTAGTGATCTCCAAAGAGCAAAAGAATTGGCATCTTGTTTTGCAGCTAGTTTCAAGCAGTAAAATATACAAGGTGTTCTCTGAGTCTTTGAGTAGACTAAGATACCTAAAAGAAGAAAAATCACAATACAAAGATTGCTTCTGCTAATGTGAATAAAATCAGGACAATAAGGTATTGTCCTGATGATAGTTTCAACCCTTTACTCTCCTGCTGTGTCACTTATAATTTTAGTTTGATGTGATCTGTTCTTAACTGAAACTGTTGCTGGAATAGTATTAACATTATTAATTAATGTTACCTGTCATGTGAGCATGTAAGTAAAATGTTAAAATATGAGGAAAATGAATTAAAATTTAGACTATTTCTAAATGCTTCCTGTTTTTATAAAAGATGTGCAAACTACTCCCCTCACAAAATATCACAAAGGAAGAATTTTTGTATCAGTGTTTGCATGAAATAATCTCCTATATGACATATCACCTGTACCACAATATTTGTATTTCATTGTTTGAACTACTGTATATATTCCTTTGACTATACAATTCTAGAATTTAAAAATAGATACCAGTAGATATTAGAAATTAGAACCTTAATACTTTTGGCTAGTAGTAAAATTAAATAAATTTTATGTAAGAGTTTAATCAAGCCACACAGAAATTATTCATACATATTGTATGTTGGTGGAAATGGCAAAATTAATTGTTCTAATTAAAAAAGGGACTTACCGAGTTTTGTTTCCACTTGGAAAATGCTTCTGGATTTCATGCTTGAAACAGAAAAAAAATGAAACTTTGATGTTAGGTGTTGATTATTAGAATGGTTTTGTAATTGTAAAAATGGCTAGCAATCACTAAATATGTAAAGCAAAAAGTTGAGGTTTCAAATGTATTTTGTATTCTACTTCAGTGAAAACAATTAGAAAACAGTACCTTTTCTTCTCCTTTTTACCCTGCATTCCTCCCCCTTCTTTTTACCCTTCTCTATTCCCCCATGATCTTTGTTTACATTTGTACTTTCTATTATAATAAACTTTAATAATAACAGAAAATAAATTATTCAATTATATTGAAATGCCTCCTCAATCATACCTGTTGCTAGTGGGATTTAGATGTACACAGGGATTTTTAAAGTGTCAAATAAAAAATACATTTAATTATATCCCAGCCACAGTCCTTAAACAGATGTTATGGAAATGTGTGAAGTATTGAGTTCATTTGCCCTTGAGATCAAACTTGTAAATAATACCAAATGTTTTTAGTGGCTCAGTTGTCAACACTTACAGAAATACTTCCCTGACTATAGCAGCACTTTGTTTTTCTCCCTCGGGCACAATTTTCAGCACATAAGTGTTTACATTTTTTGCCAGCTGCTTTAGTGGTTTTTCACAAGCCACCATGCTCCAAAGAATGTGGTCATTGCTCAGAAGCTTATGGGAGGGGATGTATCCAGTAGAAAAAATCGGTAAGCAGAAACTCACATATTTGGGGAATGTAATCAGATGATGGACTAGAAAAAGCAATAGATCGTTAAGGCTGAGGGAAGCACAGGAAGAAGAGAACAGTGCAAAAGATGAATGCATTGGATCACATAAATTATTTCAATGCCTTTGGTAGAGTTGTTTTTTAATGGGGAACATTTGCCCATATATTCACCAGGAACCAAACCCAAATCAACTAATAAGAAAATCATGGAAGTTCCAAATGTTCCTGTAAAATGGCTATAATATGTCCCACATATATGAATGTAGCATTTCCATGGTTACATAATGAGCTGCATGGGGAACATTATATCCAAATCACCATGGATTATCCATTTTCCTACATCTGAAGAAACAAGCCATAAAAACCTATGCACTTGCTATGAAAAATATATGTTAAGCTCAGTCATAGTTCTCTTTTGATGGCTACCAAATTTAGGCATGGACCATAAATGGAAGGATAGTGAGTCATCAATTTTTGACATTCATCAACAGGCATTTTTCAATTGCCGTAAACTGTGTCATTGTGTGATGAATATATTTGGCTATTAATTGCTGCTATGATCTGAACTTCCATGAGAAAGGCATTGTTCTATTGCTTACAAACTGTGAAGTACATACTGTGACAGTTCACTGGAATTACAAATACACCCCAAGGGAAATGCTCAAATAAATAAATAGGGATGCGAAGGATTCAAAATGTACGGTTAAGGTAATTAAATAGCCATGATCAATGCAGAAATCATTCACAATATGTGACTAGAAAAAAATGAGATTCCAGAGAAGGTTTAAAGGAACACATTTTTCAATTTAGAATGCATTTGATTATCTCAACTGCTGTGATGAAAAAACAAAGGGATGGTTATTGTGTGGAGCAGAAACTATAGTAACTATAGCATGGGGAAAAATAGATTCACTAGAGCTTAAACTCAGACTTGGAGACCATTGCTTTGGGCATCAGATGAAACATGATAGATATTTCTGCTTTCTATGAAAGAGATATGTGTATATATGTGTTTTATTTATATATTTGGAAATAAAAAATGAGGAATGCTTTAAAATATATTGAGGTTTACATTCACACACACACAAAAATCTAATGATGTCTATTCATTTTTAAACAATATTTTGATTTTCCATTATTTACTAGAGTCCTGTTTGATGCAAGCCTAATTCTATTCATAATCCTGCAATTAAAATATGGTAGCCTTGTTTAACATTCTTTTCAATAACTATACAAAAGTATGCTTCAAGTGTTTAATAGGGAGAAGAAACTTTGCAGCAGCTGATTGAACAATTAAAAAATTCCTGTTCTACAATAACAATACGAATTGGGTTACAAAATATTATTTGTAATTAATGTTTAACAATCTCAAAGACTTGTTGGGTAATGTATCTAAGTAATTAAACTTAAGTCTCTTGCAGATATTCAAGGGGCTTCTAAGTTGGGCAGTACAAATTCTAAACATCCATATACATGAGCGCTTTCACTTTTCTTCCAAGAGATCTCTTAAAGGCAAATTATTTGACAGCATAACAAAGCATGATCTTTGAAGTAACTTAATTTGAAAGCTGCATTCATTAACTAATATTATCTAGCTATTTACAGATGCTACTCTTGGAATTGATTACCACAGCCTTAGCTAAGGAAACACATTTCTATTCACTTAATACAGGTGAAACTCAAAAAAATTAGAATATTGTGCAAAAGTTCATTTATTTCAGTAATGCAATTTAAAAGGTGAAACTATTATATGAGATAGACTCGTTACATACAAAGCAAGATAGTTCAAGCCGTGATTTGTCATATTTGAGATGATTATGGCTTACAGCTCATGAAAACCCCAAATCCATAATCTCAGAAAATTAGAATATTACATGCAATCAATAAAACAAGGATTGTACATAGAACAATATCGGACCTCTGAAAAGTATAAGCATGCATATGTACGTAGTACTTGGTTTGGGTCCCTTTTGCAGCAATTACTGCCTCAATGCGACGTGGCATGGAAGCTACCAGCCTGTGGCACTGCTGAGTGTTATGGAAGACCAGAATGCTTCAATAGCAGCCTTCAGCTCTTCTGCATTGTTCAGTCTCACGTCTCTCATCTTTCTCTTGGCAATGCCCCCTAGATTCTCTATGGGGTTCAGGTCAGGCAAGTTTGCTGGCCAAACAAGCACAGTAATCCCATGGTCATTGAACCAGATTTTGGTGCTTTTGGCAGTGTGGGCAGGTGCCAAGTCCTGTTGTAAA